CTAACCTGCACATCCCTGGGCACTATGGGACAATTTAGCACAGCCAATCCACCCTAACCTGCACATCTTTGGACTGGAGGAAACCAGACCACCCGGAGGAAATCCACACAGACAGTCACCCGAGGGCAGAATCGAACCTGGGTCCCTGGCACCATGAGGCAACAGTGCTAACCACTGTGCTGCCAGAACATTAACCTCAGTGCTGTTCAGGTAAAGACTGGCCTAATAGCCCAGAGCCCACTTCACCTCTCCCACATTTATCTCTCTAATCTGACTTGCCTTGTGCTAAGTTGCTCATAGGTTTTGCTGATGGAGGGTAGTCCCTGCTCGGAACTGAGGGATGATTCTGTCTTGTTTTGTCCCTCCTCACAGGAGTTGGCTCAGAAAGAATTGGAGGAAGCCAAAACTCGGCCTTCGAAGGAGACCTGCCCCAACAGCAACTACAAGGAGAAATACAGCCATTTAATTGGCACTGTAGCAGCTAAGGAGGGAGCACACACTCTTCAAGCAAACAAGGCATATGGGTGTGGTATGTGTGGCTTCCTCTCTGAGGATTGTTCATCTGTTGGCAGGGAATGGCTTACACCCACACACGCAATCCCTCCCCCTCCCCCTCCCCCTGCCAAATACAATCCCCACACTCTCTTTCTCCCTACCCCATCCCTATATCCCACACAAACCCGGAGATAAATCCACTCACTTCCCTCAACCAAGTCATTAATCTCATCGCCATCATCGGCGATCCCCTCGCAGACTCTTGTTCACACTCAGGGTGAGTCCGTAGGTGGCTGTACAGACCAATGCGGCAGAAGGTAGCCTTGGGGTAGTGTGGGGCGTTGGTGTGGCAGCATGCTCCTTGCGCTGCTTTCGCTTGGTTTCCGCTTTCTCCTGATGGCAAGTCTCAAGGTGTTTGCTGACATGCCGGATGCTGCTCCTCCACTTTGGAGAGTTTTGGGCCAGTGATTCTCAGGTGTGTATATTGTAAACATGTGCAGCCCCAGCCTGGTCCCTGTCACACTGGTTACACGTTACCATGCTTATCCCAGCTCTGTTTTCTGTTAGTTAACCAATACTCTCTGTATGTGCTCTTATCTTATTAAGTAGCCTAATGTACAGCATCTTACTGATTGCCTTTTGAAAGTCTAAATATATTACATAAGTTATATTACTGTTTCCCCTTTATTTATCCTGCTTGTTACCTCCTGAAAGAATTCTAGTAAATTTGTCAGGCATGGCTTCCCCTTCCTGAAGCCATGCTATTTCTACTTAATCATATGACGTATTTCTCAGTGCTCTGCTGTTCGATCCTCTACCATAAACTCAAAATGTTCCCCATGACAGATGCTAAGCTAACTTGCCTATAGTTATCTGTTTTCGTGTCTCTCCCCTTTAAATAAATAAAGGTAGAACATTGGCACTTTCACAATCCTCTGGGATTTTTTCAAAATCTAAGGATTATTAGGAGATTACTACAACTGTATTTGATCTCTGTAGCTACTTCCTTTAATGTCCCAGGATGTATCTCATTAGGCCCAAGCGATGTGACAATCTTTAGCTCCATTAATTTCCTGAGCACTTCCTCTCTGAAAGTTATTGTGTTTATTTCCTCACTTCCTTTTCACCCCCTTGAATATTTAGATATTTTGGAATACTGTTAGTATTGTGAAGACTGATGCAGTATATTTGTTCAGCTCCCCTGCCATTTCCTGGATCCCCGTTATTATTTCCCCAGCATCCTTCTCTAAGGGGCTTTTGTTTACTTTGGTTTTTCTTTTCTTTCATACATATGTAAAGAAGCTCTTACTGCTTTGATATTGCTTGCTAGTTTATCCTAAAAGCTTAATTTCTCTACCTTTTTATTATTTTTTTCTCACCTTTTTATTTTTAAAATTTTCCTAACCCCCTGGCTGACCACTAATCTTTGCCACTGTGTGTGGTTTTTGTTTTGATGCTATCTTTAACTTTACTGGTTAACTGTATCCCCTTCATATATTCAGCGAAGAAGCAGGATTACATCTTAGTTGGAGATACATATATCATACATAAGCTCATATATGAACTTTCCCAAACCGTTCGACCAGATTCCAGCTTGTAATTCCCTCCCGGGTGCCTGCTATTCTGTATATAAATCACCGGAAACCCTCGATTAGATTCCAGTCTGTAACTCACATTTATTGACATCTGTAATCTCCTACACCCTTTCTGCAGTCCTCCAATTCCACCCTCCCTGAACATCCCCGAACATCCCCGAACATCCCCGAACATCCCCGAACATCCCCGAACATCCCCGAACATCCCCGAACATCCCCGAATGCTCCAATTCCATCCTCCCTGGACAATCCCTGAATTCTGAGAGCGTCTATTGTGCCGTTAGCTTTCTGGGTCTTAAGTCTTAAACCTCTCTGCTTTGCTGTGTTGCATGCTTTAAGATGTTTGTTAAAGAAGACTTCTTTGGCCTGTCCTAATACCCCTTCGAATGACCCAGTATCCATTTTTGTCTAATAAAATTCCTGTCTGTAGTACAGTGGAAAAGCAAAGTTGCTAAATGTTGCCTTTGGAAGTGTGAGCATGTACTGAAATTGCCAACATAGACAGTGATGGTAATGCCTGCAGGGCTCACATGCTTTGAGACAGAATGCTGCTTGCAGTGTGATGGTGAGCAGCTACATGTAGTTATATATCAGCAGCTTACTGAGCAATGTTTCACAGCTGTGCATGCGGCCCTATGTGTGACTGTATCTGTTTTCCGTCTGTGTGTCTCCTTCATTTAGCCCTGCCTCTGTTCCCACCCTTAGTGCCCACAACCAACAAGAGGGACACCCGCTCGATTGAAGAAGCAATGAACGAGATCAGGGCCAAGAAGAAGCTGAAACTGTCGGATGAAGGAACAGGTGGATCAAGTGGACAGTAGCTGGGGATTGAAGCTCAGGTGTGAATCTCCTTTGGGAGCCGAGACTCCTGTCAGGGTGGGAACCTCCCTGCTCGCTGCTGTTAGAACCGTGCTTTGATCCTTGGGATTTGGGGCTGAGACTGCAGTCTGGGACAATGGGAGGGGAGGGGAGCAGGATGGAGTTATGGGGACATGTATCTAAACCCAGAAACCTTGGGCTTGGTGCCTAGACCAGGTTTCTGTGAACTGCAATAAGGGAAGTTTCATCTCTGCCATGTTCACCTGGCTGTTCTTTTCCTTGTTTATCCTCACCTCGCTCCCCAAGCCTGCCATTAACTAAGTGAACCCTTGCTTATGGTCAGTGCTGCTGCGGCAGTGGGGGGGTGGGGGCAGCAGACAAAGATTTTAATTGTCACTTCTGAGTTGTGAAATTCTTTGAGGTTTAAGGAAAGCAGCGTCCTGATGTGGATGCCTCCATTGCTTAAACTCATCAACCACTGAAATTGCTGCCTCTGGGTGTTGTTAAATCAACAAAAACTCTGAGCATTTTGCACCCGCTATCCCAAAGCTCCAAACTATACAGCGTCCCCTCTGGGACTCAATGCTGCCCCTTCCTCTCCTTCTGTTTGTCTACCGCTCAATCCCACCCCCCCCCCCAGCTTGTGTGATGATGTTAATGAGCTGTGTTGACAGCGAGAGGACTGCTCATGCCCAAGCCAGGTACCATCTCTTTCATTGCCTTGAGAATCTAACTTGTAACCGTTTTGAATGGAGTTTTACCTTTTATCTGCTGTGTTTGAATGTAAATTATCATCCATTGAGATGCTTGGTATCAGTTAGTTACTGAAATCATTTTATCTTTTCGCAAATAAACCATAATTTCTAACATTGTCAGGTTTAGAAGCTGCTTTTCTCCTGGGCTGGTTTCTTACGTGTTGGGCACTTTTTAATTCTTGGGATGTCACTGCCACTGGCTGGTCCCCCTCCAGCCTGTCCCCAATTGCCCCTTGAGAAGGTGGGGGTGAACTGCCTTCTTGAACCGCTGCAGTCCATGTGCTGTGGGTTGACCCACAGTGTCCCTTAGGGAGAGAATTCCAGGGATTCTGACCCAGTGACAGTGAAGCAACGGCAATATATTTCCAAGTCAGGATGGTGAGTGGCTCAGAGGGGAACTTGTAGCAGATACATAGGAACACCACTTCCCTGTCCTTGTCCTTCTGGATGGAAATGGTTGAGTTTGGAAGGTGCTATCTGAGGATCTTTGGTGAATTTCTGCAGTGCATCTTGTGGATGGTACACACTGCTGCTACTGAGCGTCGGTGGTGGAGGGAGTTGATGTGGTGTCAGTCAAGTGGGCTGCTTTGTCCTGTAGATGATGGTGAGGGGGAATTCATGCCCAGCTGTTTGTATTGACCTGTTCCAGTAGCAGATGATGGACCTTGAAGCTTATGCTATTAAGGAGAGAGTATGGGTGCAGGATTGTCTAAGAAAGTGGACCATGTGGTGCTTAGTATCAATCTGGAGATTGTCCATTGTTACTCCATAGGAGCTGTTACAAAGACCATTGCTCTCCTTGATTTGTTAAACACCTGGACTTGGGCATAATTTTAAAATTGGCAGATGATACAAACCATAAATGCAGTGAGAAAAAGTACCAGGGCCCATTTGCTCAGCAAGTTGTAAAGTGATAGATTTTTAAGAGTCAGAGACACTGTTGCACAAGTTGACATTGAATGCAGGGAGAGCCCTGGGGGTTGTAGACTGTACAGGACAAGGCTATGCTCACAAAGGTGGCCCAATAACATACCCTTTTATAAGCAGGTACATAAATACAGAAGGAACTAGGTTGTGTTAATACAGGGGGGGGGAAAAAAAAAGTTTAGCCTGGGGATATCAAAAATGTTGGAGGTGATTTACTCAACTGCTACAAGGGGGATAGAACATAGGAACTGGAGTATCTGTGGCATACTGCTACATACCTGCCTTTGGCGCATATTGTTAAGTTCCATTAAGCAAAGGTATTATCTCAGATTTGAAACTAACAGCATCCACTGCTGTTTCTGGAAGAGAGTTCCAAACATCTACCACCCTGTGTGTAGAAGTGCTTTCGAACATCTCTCCTGAATAGTTTGGCCCTAAATCTCAGACTATGTCCCTAGTTCTAGAATCACCAAAGAGCAGATGGTAGCTAAAAATAAACTCTGTCTTTTCCTTTTAACATCCTGAAGACTTTGATCAGATCACCCCTTAACCTGCTAAATTCTAGCTTAAACAGGCCTAATTTGTCTAATCTCTCCTCATAACCTAACCCCTGAAGTCCAGGTATCATTCCTCTAAACCCACTTTGCAGCTCAGGGACACTATTCAGCCTAGAGTCCATACTGGCTGCCTGTGTAATAGTACGCTCCAACTAGTTTCCCCTGAAGTGCCAGTTACCTTTGAACAAATCTTCTTCACTTTCACTAGTGGGCAGTAGGAGGTTCTTAATGCAAATTTTAAATCTGTACCCCCCACCTCAGTTTGTGAGCCATCAGCTCTTCCCATTCCGTTCCGAGTAGGACAAGCCTATCCTAACAGCTGTAACTACCCCATCCCTGGGCATTCAGGTAAATGGTCTCTGCAAGGAGATGGGGGGGGTATACACTTAACTGATAGCAGTGAAGGTTTTGAGTTGATGAGATACAGGGACAGTTTGGAAGGACTGAATTTTAGATAAATCACAATCTCATTCAAATGTCTCAAATTCTGACAGGCCTGGATAAACTGGTTGTAGAGAGGGTGTTTTCTCCCCAGCTGAAGTCCAGAATTGGAGAAGGAGGTGGCTGAGTTTTGGACTGGGGAGAAACCTCCTCCCACCCCACCCAGTAAAGTCATCCACAGGTTCACTACGCTGAAAGGGGAGGCTGTGACAGTGTATTGTTGAGGTATTTCTCACTGCTGAAGAGGGACAGAGAAGGATTTTCTGCACTTTGACAGGAAAAATACAGGAGCTTATTTACTTAATGGAAAAAGACTGCAGAAAGCTACAGAAGGATTTGAGTGTTCTTCTGCATGAATCAAAAAACTAGTATTAGGGAAGGTAAATAGAATGTCACACTCCCCTCCCTTTGGAATAAAGTAGGGAAGCTTTGCTAAAACTGAACAAGGCAGTAGTCAGACCACAGCTGAACACTGAGGGGGGTAAGGACAGACCACAGCTGAATACTGAGGTGGGGTAAGGAAAGACATGGAGGCAGCCTAGAGCAGGTTCAGTAGGCTGATGGAGAGATTGCCTTTCAAAATGAGCTCATCATCCTTCATTAATTGAACAGCAGAGCAGACTTTGTTGGCCAGAAAGCCTAACTCCAAACCATAGTCAACATACAGGAGATGACCAGCTCAGCTGTGTTCATGATGAACAGCCTGAAGTGGACTGTGTCCAGTGAAGGTCAGTCTGCTCACTGCAGTCACCATGCTGCTGCAGCATATTAATGGGTGAGAGAGAAAGGGGAAAGAGTCCTGGCTAAGTGAGGATACAATAGCAATGTTTCTCATACCTGTAAGTGAAGCAGGAACCAGGCCTGCTCAGACCAAGATAAAAGAACTACATCATTCTCAGCTGCACTGTATGGCCTAGGTATATTGTTGTCTAAACAGTCCATTGCGGGAACAGCAACTAAAGCAGCTTCACAGGTTCAGCTGGAACTGCACTAAATAGAACACAGACAGACAGAGGAGGAGACAGGTCTGAGCGACATGAGCACTTTATTCACCAACACATCACATCCTGATTCCAAAGCAACATCTAGGTTCGGCTGAAAGCCTTGCGAGGGAGCCACAAGACAGGTGGAGAGGAGACAACTGGTGATGGTGAATGAGAGAGAGCAGTTTTCAGGAGATCAGAGCAAGAGGACGTGTTGGCCAGGTGCTGTGATGATGCTCCCTACGTCTCCTGGGGAAGCAGGTCTGGGTTTCACAGTGGTTTCCGGAAGTTGCGGCCAGCAAACTTGGCTTTGTCTCCCAGCTCCTCCTCAATCCTGCACAAAAAAACCAGGAAGAGAATTTGGTTAACATGCTACATCTGGAATTCTCAGACTTAGCCTCCTTCCCTCCAGCCACCCACACCAAGAACAGGAACCTGATCCTGTATACATTTCTACCCACTTACACTGACAGAAGTTACCTGGACTGGGAAGGCTATTTGACCTTGTTGTGAATTACATGCAAGCCTAAAGTTATTTTAAAAATGTTCTCCTTGTCACCTTGAGCAAGGAAAGGAATTCTGCAGGAGTGGGAGCGGACAGGTGTTGGAGGAGATAGTGAAGGATACAGGATCAAACTCTGATACTGTCCAGTAATTTCCAACATTGCTCCCTGTCTCCATGGGAAGTATTAGACCCAACACCTTTCTAGGCAGAAATCCAAATGGCCCCAAACACAATTCTTCCAGAGTGCTCGCAAGTGTTACTCACCTCATCAACTGGTTGTACTTGGCCAGACGTTCAGAGCGACATGGAGCTCCTGTCTTTATCTGAAAGAAAAAAGTCAGTGAAGGTTACCCAGTGCTTGACAGAACCAGCCCAGCCATCACCAGAAAGCAGTTGGCAGGGGAGTGGTGTGGTGTGGTATGGGTGTTGAGTCACACACTCACCTGACCAGTGCAGAGACCTACAACCAGATCAGCGATGAAAGGATCCTCTGTCTCCCCAGAACGGTGACTCACCATCACTCCCCAGCCATTTGTCTGAGCCAACTTACAGCTACAAGGAAGAGTTAGTTAGTTACTGTGTGCCGGGAGCTTTAGTCTCTATCTAACCCTGTACTGTACTTGTCCTAATGGTGTGAGGGTATTGCATTGATTTAGACACTTTGTAAAACATGCTGCTGGTTTTAACAAGTGAGGAGAGAGTGCACACAGCTTTTTTTTTTTTAAATTCAGTGTAATGCAGCAGTGCTATGTTAATATGGCAATGCTCCACCCAGTGATTAACCAAATGCAGTAGGGGTCAGTGTGCACTCAACACTGGGATCTCCTAATGGAGTCTCCGGTTTCAAACAAACCAAAATAGCTCAGGTTGGAAAGGTCAGCATTCCCCTACCCCACCCTCCTCACTTCCCATATAGTTTGTGACATTTGCAGTCGAAACATCCTAACCCCAGTTACTGTCTTGATTTCTGTCGATCTCCTCTGACTGGGAGTTAAGGGACAGCAGACAGCCATTCAGCCCATGTCTGGGATTCAGTCCCTGAAAGCTATCCATTTAGAGCCACCTACCTACTCCATGCTGCTGTCCCCATGGACTGAGGATGTTCCCCCAGTTCAGAGGTATTCTGAACATTGTTAACAGAGCAACGACAGGACATCACTTTCTGCAGAACAGCTCCTCACTGACCACCCCCACCCCACCCCACCACTCCCAATATTCCCTGAACATGATTACTCACGCCTTGATGGATTCGGTGACAGTTCCGATCTGATTGACCTTCAGCAAGAGACAGTTGCAGGCTTTCTTATCCACTGCTGTCTGGATGCGTTTGGGGTTTGTAACTGTCAGGTCATCTCCCACAATCTGGATGGAGACACTGTCAGTGAATTTGGACCAGTTCTCCCAGTCATCCTGGTCAAAGGGATCCTCAATGGACATAACTGGAGGGGGGGGTGGGGAAGAGAAGGGGAGGGGAGTTAGCATTAGCCCAGGGTCTTCCTAGCCAGCCCCACACCCTCCTCCAGTCCTGCCCTTACCAGGGTAGTTAGCGATGAAACTTTTGTACAGTTCGCCCAGCTTCTCCCCGGAGATGTAGCGGCTGGGGTCATCAGGAGACTTGAAGTCCAGGTCATACTGGCCTTGGCGACAGAACTCCGAAGCTGCCACGTCCATTCCAATGATAATCTTGTCGGTATAACCGGCCTTTTCAATTGCAGTCTTCAGCAACTCCAGAGCTGCAGTGGGGTGGGGGGGGAAGGAAGCAAAGAATTTTTAACCCCATTGCTGCACCCTCCTGAGATGGGGACAGAATGGAATTTACTTAATTGTCATTAGCTGACATGAGTAGTGAAAAATTTACAAGTTGTCACTTAGTGTGGTAAGTATCTTAAGAATCTGTACCTAGGGTATCTTTGTGCCCAAGTGCAAATTCTTGTGGAAAATAAGAATAAAGAAAAAACCAGTCCATTACAGAACTTCAAAAGTACAAAATCATTGTAATGAGGTGAAGTGGTGGGGGTGTGGGGTGGGTGGGTGCAGAAGGGGAGAGTTCCGGTTTCGCATTTACAACTCCATCTTATACAGTTCACTGTTTCCAGTGAGATCCCAGTTCTCCATTCCCTCCCCACCTGTAAAATAGAACAAGAATTGATATTCCCATTGACATTCAAGCTCCCAGCTGTGATCCTGCCATTTTCCATGTTTATTTCGGTATCCCTGAGCTCGCAGACCATGCTGTCTTATCTGGAGGGTGTATTTCCACATCCTACACCCCAGATCCTATTACTGCTCCTGAAGTTAAAGTTAGATCTTGACATTTGGAGAAAAGATTCCGGAATGGAACATGAGATTCTGCAGGCTCGAGTGGCCAGCATCAGCTTTATGGCTTCTGGCTTCAGCACTAAGTAGCCTGGGGGGTGAGGAGGCAGCAGAGGAAGGAGATACAGAGAGGGGAATGGGAGAGAGGAATGTGGGATGGTGGGGGTGAGGGGAAGACAAGGGAGAAAGAGAGAGAGATTGCTCTGATCCTCTGTAAATTCCCCAAACTGCTGCCCAGGGCAGACAGGAGGCACGAGCTCCTGGGCAGGCAGCTGGAAGGGAAGATGGCATGTTCTGTGCCCATTACCTTCATTGTTCTCCAGGATGTTGGGGGCAAATCCTCCCTCGTCACCCACATTGGTGGCATCCTTCCCATACTTGGCCTTGATGACGTTCTTCAGGTTGTGGTAGACCTCTGCTCCAATCCGCATGGCCTCCTTAAAGTTGGTGGCACCCACGGGCAGGATCATAAACTCCTGCATGGCCAGCTTGTTCCCAGCATGGGATCCCCCATTAATCACATTGAAGGCCTGGAAGGGGAACACAAAGCACCAAGCGTGTTACAGTGTTCTGCAGGAACAGAAACACACACACACACCCCACCATTAACTCCATTCTCCCTCAGGCTCAGGGGAAGCAGCTTTTTCCCCCCATTCCCTGAGCCTGGACTCATTCTCCATTCGTCTCACTGCAACACCAACTGGTAGCAGTGACTTAGGGCTCACTTGGAGCAAAGGGTACAGACACTTATTGGAGCATGGCCCTACTCAAACCACTAATGGCAGGAGTGAAGTGAACTTTCCATGATTTGGTCACAAGGACACCCGAAATCCCTCTGCAATCTGTCAGCATTTAAATAATGATTCTATTCTTCCTGGCAAAATGGACATTTTCCTGCATGATACTCCCTTAGCACATCTTTGGCTACTGACTAAACCTTTAGAATCCATTTGTATTCTCATGTCCTCGTCACAAATTGCTGCAGCCACACCTTGATCCAAATAGCTTGTAAATCTATGCCAATTAGAGAGAGGTGAGACCTTAGAACAAGCTCAGTAATAGATATACATAACTCCCTAAATCAGAACAGACCCTAACCTCATCCCTGATCACAACTTGGGACCAAGCCTGTCTCTAGCTCCGTTTCTCAACTAAAAATGCTAAAGGATTTTTGGTTAGATCTGATGCATACCATGATTTTATTAATTACTCATCAAATCAAAGATCAATTTCTGGCTTTGGAATGATTTTTATTCCCATTTACTGATAAAATATTTCCTGTAACGTTCTGAAACTTGCTCACTGGCAACTTGATACCTTGTGCTTAACCCCATGCTGTCCCTGACCTAGGGGTGTTCACTGGGAACAGTACAGGAACATTTACTTTCAGTTTAAAAGGAATAGGGTCAGCATTACTCTATTTAAATCTGTGCTGTCCCTGTCCTGGGAATGTTTGAAGGCGACAGGGCACAAAGAGCTTTACTCTGTATCTGACCCTATGCTGTCCCGGTCCTGGGAGTATTTGATGGGACATCTCAGTGATAAGTCTGCATGGTTCTGGGAATTCCTGGATAATGCAGGAGCAGCAAACCTCTCACACAGGCAGGGAATAACAGACTCACCGGGACTGGGAGGATAAGGTCCTTGTTGCCAGCAAGGTCAGCAATATGACGATACAGGGGGACCCCCTTCTCCTTAGCACCAGCTTTGCAAACTGCCAGGGAGACACCCAGAATGGCATTGGCACCAAACTTAGCTACAGAGAGGGGAGAGAGAGAGAGAGATTACCACAGTCCTTTCCAAGCCTTTGCCAGCTACAAAGCAAAGCAGTTCAGAATATTTCTCAGGCGATACCTCAGCTCCACACTCACATTTATTAGCAGTTCCATCCAGCTCCAACATCAGATTATCGATCTTCTCCTGTTCAACTACACTCAGTTTCTGCAAAGAGAAAATTGAACATTTGGCATCAAACTGTGGCTTGCAAATAGTGATGAGTACATGTGACATTTAGCCTCAATTAGCTGCAGGACCCCAGGACTGGGAGTTTAAAGCAAGTCAGGGTTCTAAAACCCTGGTTAGACCCCCCAGTTAGAGCAGTGAGCGCAGATCTGGGTACCATGCCTTAAGGATGGATAGACTGGCCTTGGAGGGAGGGCAACATAGCCTCAAGAATGATGTGTGGATTTCAGGGGTTAGGTTTGAGATGTTATAAAATGAGGCCTGTTTTCTCTAGGATTTTGAAGATTAAGGGATGATCTGATCAACATCAAGATATTAACATGACAAGTCAACATACATAAAGATAAACAATTTCTGCTCTTTGGGGATTCTCAAACTAGGGGCATAGTCTGAGAACGAGGACCAGACCATTTGGGAGAGATATTAGGAAGCACTTCAGCACTCAAAAGGTGGAAGGGATTTGGAACACTCTTCCACAAATGGCAGTGGATGAGAGATCAGTTAATATTAAATCTGAGATAGATACATTGTTGTTAAGCAAAGGGATATGGTCCTAAAGGCAGGTCTACAGAGTTAGAATGGTGGAACAGGTTCAAGGGGCTGAATAGCCTACTGTTCCCACGTTCACACTCTGGGAGGTTTCAGTTTACTGATACCAACACTACATGCCCTTTGGGGAGGGGCCATTCCTGATCAGAGCCCTACAGAGCAGCGTTGGCCTGGTGTTATTCAACTGAATGCAGGAGGCTGTCCAAAAAGGAGAATTGTGTTTACACACAGTGGCAGAGGCGCTGCAGTACGTTACCTTGCTAATCAGTTCTGGGCCAATGCTTTTATTGATGTGTTCAACAGCAGACAGTACCCCTGCAAACCGAGAGAAAGAAAAATGAACAGAGAGCCAGCAGAGTACCGAGAGAGTCGGGCTATTATTGCACAGCAGCTGACCTTTTGCTTGGCGGCCTGTGACCTTCGATGGTGTCAACCTTTCAAGGGGATTGTGGGTCTAATTTATTTCAAACCTGTGGCTGAGCCCTTTAGACCAAGCGTGGAATCACCAAGTCAAGCTGAACAAACAGACATTCCCCGTTGTGTCAGGGAGGAGATGGATTTGCACGCATTAAATCAGAGACAGTGAATACAGCAGCTGCTCTAGGCTGGGGACTAAGTGGAATGCGGCTGGTGAATTTGGCAGGGGGGGTGGACATACAAAGCCTGGGACCTTACACTTCCCTATCCACAGAAACCAGTCCCATCACTCAGTGTCATAAAGGGGCTCCAGTTATTCATTGCAATTTATTTGCACTGGACCAACAGGATCAAATCAACTTCACATTGCAACAACTGACAGCTGCAATGCGACATTGACGCTAATCTAACCTCAGCACCCTGGGACTGGGAGCATAAAGCAAGTCATGGTTCGGAAACCCTGGTTAGGCCCCACTTGGATTACAGAGAGCAGATCTGGGTACCACACCTTGGCTTTTTTGGAGTGGGGGGTGTGGGAGTATATTGTAGGTTTACAAGAATGTAGAGGAACACAGTGGCTCAGTGGTTAACGCTACTACCTCATGGCACCAGGGACTTGGGTTCGATCCCACCCTTGGGCAACTGTGTGGAGTTTGCACATTCTCCGTGTCTGCATGGGTTTCCTCCCACAGTCCAAAGATGTGCAGATTAGGGTGGATTGGCCGTGCTAAATTGTCCCATAGTGCCCAGGGATGTGCAGGTTAGGGTGGGTTGGCCATACTAAATTGTCCCATAGTGCAGGCTAGGTGGGTTAGTAATGGGAAAGGCAGGTCATGGGGATTGGATGGGATCATAGGTCTGGGTGTGACCCCTGGTGGACAATGAGGACCAAGTAGATCTGGTGTATCTAGATTTCCAAAAGGCATTCAACAAGGTGCACACAAAAGGCTGCTGCATAAGATAAGGCACACAGTGTTACAGGTAATATATTAGCATGGATCGAGGATGGGTTAACTAACAGGAAGCAAAGAATGGGGATAAAAGTGCTTTTTTGGTTGGTGATCAGTGAAGAGTAGAGTGCTTTAGGGATCAGTGCTGGGACCACAATTGTTTATAATTTACATAGATGATTTGGAGTTTGGGACCATGTGTAGTGTGTCAAAGTTTGCAGATGACACTAAGAGGAGTGGTAGAGCAAAGTGTGCAGAGGGATATAGCTAGTTTGAGTGAGCAAGGGTCTGGCAGATGGAATACAATGTTGATAAATGTGAGGTCATCCATTTTGGTCAGAACAGCAGCAAAAGGAACTATTATTCAAACGGTTAAAAAAATTGCAGCGTGCTGCTATGCTGAAGGACCTGGATGTCCTTGTGCATGAATCAAAGTGTTGGTTTGCAAGTGCAGCAGGTAATTAAGAAGGCAAATGGAATATTGTCCTTCATTACTAGAGGGATTGAGCTTAAAAACAGGGTGCTGGTGAGGTCACACCTGGAGTACTGTGTACAGTTCGGGTCTCCTTACATGAGAAAGGATGCTACTGGCACTGGGAGGGGGTGCAGAGGAGGTTCACCAGGTTGGTTCTGGAGTTGAGGGTTGGCTTATGAGGAGAGATTGAGTAGACTGGATCTGTACTCACTGGAATTTAGAAGAACGAGGGGGATCTTATAGAAACATCTAAAATTATGAAGGGAATAGATAGGATAGAAGCAGGGAGTTTGTTTCCACTGGCGGGTGAGACTAGAACAAGGGGCAGCATAGCTTCAAAATAAGGGGGAAGCAGATTTAGGACTGAGCTGAGGAGGCACTTCTTCACCCAAAGGGTTGTGAATCTGTGGAATTCCCTGCCCAGTGAAGCAGTCGAGGCCTCTGCACCGAATGTTTTAAAAGCCAAGATAGATAATATTTTGAACAGTAAAGGGATTAAAAGGGTTATGATGAGTGGGTGGGTAAGTGGAGCTGAGTCCATGAAAAGGTCAGCCATGATATTGTTGAACAGCACAGCAGGCTCGAGGGCCTCTTCCTGTTCCTGGTTCCTATGCTCTGGAGGTTCGGTGCTGACTCAGTGGGCCGAATAGCCTCTTTCCGTACTGTCGGGATTTTATGATTCAACTCTGCTCAATGCACCTCAGCAACCTATTCTGTTCACACATCTGTGTATCGAAGGACCATAACACTGAAACCCCTTTCTCCAAGAGGGGGAGGTTGTGGTTCAGAGATGGCAGCTTCAGAAATTCTGACCCATCTCAGACACACAACACCTCCACATGCTCAGATACTGCAGTGTGCTCACAGAACTAGGAAGCAGTTTCCTTGTTCTGCTTCACCCTCTGCACTTTTACAACCCTGCCGAGCCTCCCCGACAGACTCACCTTTGCCCAGGTACCTGGACTTGTCTCCATCGCGAAGCTCCAGAGCTTCATGAATCCCTGTGGAGGCCCCACTGGGTACAGCTGCTCGGAAATGACCTGAGAAAGTACAAGCAGTTCACGGTCACCACAAAAGGCTTTTATTAAAGGCTTCATTCATTCATCAGTGGCCAGGTATAGTTTGCACGAGAATGGACTTATTTACTGCCCTTAAAGCTGTCTGGCTTCAATGTCACACCTTCCCTCCACCCCCCCACAAACAACTGTGCCCCTCACCATCTCCTCCCATCCCCCATGCCTACGACCCCATCATCTCCTCCCTCCCCCTGCACCGCTGGAAGCGCATGCCTCTCTCCCCAATTTTGGGAGAATCTGACTCACCTTTGGCCGTGTAGAGATCCACTTCCACAGTGGGATTCCCCCTGGAATCCAGGATCTCCCGGGCATGGATCTTCTCAATCGACATTTTGCTGCAACTGAAATTAGCCACCGGTTAAAGTTTCACATCAGTGAGAGAGAGGAGGAAGGAAATGGAGGAGTGAGGGTTACTGATTCCTGCCCCGGGACCAACCCCCAACACCTCCTCTCACAGCAGGTGCAGTGTGACCTTGCCCTCGGGGGGGGTGGGGCAGAGGGGGTTGAAGTCCAGAGCTCCACACGAGGTGCTGGGTGTCACAGACTGGCAGGAAATGGCAGAGAGTCAGGAACCACAGACACGTGTAGCTAAGCCGTGAGTCACTTCATTCAAGCTCAAGGACCATCAATGGTTCCTCTGCCTTGCCGCCCCCTCCAAGTAGGGAATCAATTCAGGAATGAGGTCAAACATCAGGCTCAGGAGCCTCAGGGAGGTTGGACTCTCTCTCAGGGGAGGAACACATGTTACACAGTTTCCCCCCCCCCCCCGGTAACATGCTGGTCTCTCTCCATCATGCCCACA